GGAGTCTCCCTCTTTTGTCCAGGCTGGAGTGCAGTGGTGCAGTCTCGGCTCACTGCAAGCTCCGCTTCCCGGGCTCACGCCACTCTCCTGCCTCAGCCTCCCGAGTAGCTGGGGCTACAGGTGCCTGCCACCACGCCCGGCTAATTTTTTTTTGTATTTTGTAGTAGAGACGGGGTTTTACCGTGTTAGCCAGGTTGGTCTCGATCTCCTAACTTCGTGATCCGCCTGCCTTGGCCTCCCAAAGTGGTGGGATTACAGGTGCAAGTCACCGTGCCTGGCCTTCTTCATCTATATTTTAAAGTAAATTACTATTTTTAAACTATAATTAAATATAGTAGTTGTAATTTTCATGGTTGTTGGGACAAAATGTGATTATATATATAAAAAGTCCCCAGTCTAATTCTTCACATATAGTAGGCAATTAGTCAACAATTTTTTTCCTTCATTTTATTCATAGATTCCCATGGAAACAGCATACCAGATATTGATTAAATGATATAATTCAAATTGGGGTATTATCATGGTGAAATTAGATGTTGGATATCATGTATTATATAGCATATATTACATGTCACATGTTATTCATTATGTATAAGATTTATGGCATAAGATATAAGATATAATGTATTTTTATTATATAGTTGTGGTGAGATTATAATAGTTAAGTTTTTTTTTTTGTAAAGCACTACTATTTCCTACAAAACTTGAATTTTCTTTTAATATTCTAGACTTCATTAATTTTAATTAGAAGAAAATAAAGTTGACTTTGTCCTAAATAAATGAGAAATTTTTTGTCTTCTAAGAAAAGCTGTAATTCTGATGATTAGTTTCATGATTAACTGTTACCTTTTTTCTTCTTGTTCAATGTTTTCAGGAAGAACCCTATGTCCTTTTTAAGAAATCTGACAAACCTCTCTATGGTAATGATCGATTTGAAGGCTATTGCATTGATCTCCTCAAAGAGTTATCTACAATCCTTGGCTTTACATATGAAATTAGACTTGTGGAAGATGGGAAATATGGAGCCCAGGATGATGCCAATGGACAATGGAATGGAATGGTTCGTGAACTAATTGATCATGTAAGTCCCTTCCCTCATTATTTATTAGTTTGTTATATGGCTACAAGGTTTACTCTTTTTTCTTGATGTGTGTGAGTAGTAACTACAAAGAGCAGTGATGTATTTCAAGTATGTATTTCCTTCAATAATTTTATTTAAGCTAGATAGTATTTGTCACTAAATATAAAAGAATCTAAGAGGGGTATATAGCCCTGTGTAGGTAAACAGATTACATTTTCCACAGAAACTGAGAGATGGAACATTATCTCTCTTGATTATTACATTTCAAAGAGATACTTCCCAGGTCCTTGAGAAACGCTTTCCTGGGCCATAACATTGGCAAGAGGTAATTAGCTTTTAAAGGAGTTACATACATTTCAAAGAGAGAGGGAGAAAGGACCTATAACTATGAATTTTTAAAGTAAGTATTCTAAGAACAGGGGGTGAGGAGGGGTGTTTCTTTCCTTATTTTCAGTTGGAAGAATCAGACCTTTTATTTGTAATTAGAATTTAGTATTTAATTAGTATTTAGTATTTTTAATTAGCTCTTGCAATTGCAAGTGTTTGTTGTTTTAGAAATAACATGTTTGTCACCTTCTTATTTCCATCCCTCCTTAAGGGGACCTTAAACATACAGGGTTTGGTATGATCTTTCAAATTCATTATGATCTAACCAAGATGGTTCTCAGTGGTACAATATGAAGATGCAACTTCAGATGGATATCTTAACTTTAAAAAGTATAATTCATAAATTTAGAAAAGGAGACTTTATTTCTTACAAAGGGTTGCAGTATGCAGGGTGGCCATTCAGACAGGTTGGGAAGCATAGTCTCTGGTTGGAAGTCAAAAGCAGACACTTCAATGGTGGGGCAAAAGGAACAGGAATTTACGCTAAGCAGGGCGGCTGAATTATATATATATTTTTCCCAATAGGAGAAATCATGAATATTTATGAAAGGAGAAACTTATGCATGAGCATGAACGTGCCTCTCCATGGATCCCATGTACAATAATGGTGGCATTAGCGTGGTCTGAGGGTGGAGTTTTCAGTGCTATGGCATCAGAAAGTGAAGCACAGGACATGAAAATCCTTACTAAGCATTCTCTAAAGATGGCTAGAACCATTCAATGGTCATGGTCTAACAGGCAAAAAAAAGAAAGGGCAGCATCAAGGTTGGTTGATATCACTGTTGAAGTCTTTTGAAAGGGCCGTTTTCTGTTTTCAGTGGTGAAGTCTTCTGAAAAGACTGTCTTCTTTAGGGAAGAAAGTCTAAAGGCAGTTAGTGAGGAGGTTGGTGTATAATGAGGCGTGTCTGCCTTTCTATCCTGTCATGGTTGAGAACTCCGTTTTCAAGGTTACTCTGGAGTTCCCTTGGCCGGGAAGAGGTCCATTCAGTTGTTTGAGGGGCTTTGGATTTATTTTTATTTCTCAGATATTAGGAGAAAGTGATTTTCTGAGGCGTTAGGTATTGTTAGTCCTTGAAAAAAGACCTTTTCCCTGAAAACATCATCCCCTCTTCTCCACTCTCCCATACTCAGTAGAGCTCCATAAAATAGTGTGCTAGTGAGCACTTGGTAGGGCAAAGGTGAGTTCAAATCCTAAGTCTTCAGCTGTGCAGTTGCATGCATTGAGAACACCTTCTTAAACACTTTGAAACTTAACTTTCTGAAACATAAGATAAAGATAATTTATATCATTTTAATAATTAGGAATGATATATGGGAATTTTCTAACAGTGTCTGACATATAGTACATAATCAATAAATAGAGATGTAACTAATAAGCCCAAACTTAGTGTCTTCTTACTTGTTCTGTCTTCTACTATAGTATTTATGAGTGTTTGTGTTGAGGGCTAAAACATAAAACATTTAGACAGTATTACAATGAGAAAGCTGTAGGGACTATAGCACTATTATGATTAAATTTGAATTTAATCATAGTCAATGAGATCAATATTAGGCTTTGGTAGTGAAGTTTATTAATTGGATCCTTTGCTGTCACAAATACACCAGTCCTTTCCTACCTAAATGACCTATATGTTGTGAATGGCAGTTTTATATTAGGATTAATTAAACATAGAGAAGCATTAGGAGAGAGTCAAATTCACTGTTAGATCAGCAATAGGCAAGATAAAGAAAAACAAAACAAATAATATTTAGGGTACCAATGAAGCAGGGACATCCTTATTTTTTTGAAAATTACTCTTAATATTTAAAAAAAGTCAAAATACTCATTATAGATAAAATCAAAACATTTTTGGAACTTCTTATACTTAACAGTTTGATATTTTGTCAAATTTGAATTACACATATAGGGGACAAAGCTCTTGACCCGCTATAGTTTTGCTGAAAATCACTGATATGAGGTTAATTAATTAATAAGAGAAAGTACATACAAATTTATATTGTATATACTTGTATATACAAGACCCTTCAGAATGAAAACTCAACTTCCCAAAGAAGTACAGAAGCTCGTATTATCATCTTGAGGTTACAACGAGCATGGGGGCTTGCATCCTGGTAAAATAGTTTATGAGAAGGCAAAGAAAATGAATTCTATGGAGGAGCAACAAATGATTACTACAGAACAGAAATTAAGTTGTAAACATTTTTTGTTTTCTAGAACTTAAATGATGTTTGAAGACAATGATTATCTTGAAAAAGGGTCTGTTCAGATGTGGTTAGATTTTTTGTTTTCTTTCCTGTAATGGATAATGAGATTACAGGGAGGGAAACAAGAATTCTTGTTCTCCTAGGCGGGTAAATTCTTTTTGTAGATAGGAGAAAAGTCTCTTCTAGTGATTATTGATCCCCAAGAGTTTTTAACTTAAAATACTCTGACAGTGAAGGATTTATTTTCTTTCTTAGATCTTTGAGGATCTTAATCCAGCATTTCTCAAAAACATTTTATTCTCCTCATTATTAATTTTTTTAAGAGGATCTTTCTGTCACCCAGGCTAGAGTCCAGTGGCATAATCATAGTTCACTGCGGCCCTGAAGCCCTTGGCTCAAGCAGTCCTCCTGTCTCAGCCTTGTGGGTAGACATGCTAACATCCCTAGCTAATTATGTATTATTGTTATTGTTATTATTTTAGATATGTGATCTTGCTGTGTTGCTCATGCTAGTCTCAAACTTCTGGACTCCAGGGATCCGCCTGCCTTAGCCTCTGTAGTAACTGGGATTATAGACATGAGCCACTGTGCCTGGCTTCAAATACACTTGAAAAAATTAATTTTGTGGAAACTTTGGTACATTTTAAAATGTTAATAATATATGTCCTACTACAGAGAAAATACGGAAGCAAGCAATCTATTTTGCTTTTCCTTTATATACTAATAATCTACTCTTTCAGTCCTAACATATTTTCCATGGGGCTAATCATCTTTTGAGTTTTTATGATGATTGATGACTTGAAATTTTTTGGTTAGCTATAAAAAGTTGATAACTTTTGAAAGTTATCAAACTGATTGGAATCTAAATTAGGATGTTATTTTATCAAATCCGTTCGCTGCATTCATGATCTTCTGTATTGTACTGTATATTTGGTATAATTTATCTGCTTCAAATATACTGAAAATAACTAGGAGACATAAATAATAATGGTGCAGAAAACGTTCAGCATTCAACAATATTTATTGAAAGAATGACACAAATATTTCCCAATGTTCCACAACAAACATGAAACTCAAGCACCACAGTCTTTAGAGAATATGGCCACGTATATTCCAAATGCTTTTATTGTTAGATTGCCTTCCAAAAGCCCCAGTGAAAGTTTCTGTTCAAGGGCCAAGAAAACAGGGTCATATCTTCTTCTTGAAATTAAAGCATCATAACCTTTTTAATTCTATTTTATAAAATATTTTATCACATTTTTCATTCTTAAAAGGAAGCTTAGCTATTGAGCCTGCCATAGTAGAGATGACTACACAGAAGCTTACTAATGCAACCATTTTATTAAGTTGGGTATACATTTTACTTGTAGCTTTGGGTTGTGTTTTATTTTTTTACAGCTAATAACTCATTTGTGGGCTCATGAGACAACTGTGATAAGCATCTTATTCATAAAGCCAACTAGAATTATTCATTAGCATAAGGGAAAACCCCTAAGCTGCAATAAGCTACCACAACATGTTATTATGGGAGTGCTTAAAGTGACAAGGTCAGTAAAATTACTTTCAAATCTCTGGTGATGTTTGCCTTAGCATTGGAAAACCTCAGAGAATATTTATGCTTGTAGACATCCATGCATAAGCTAATAGAGTAATGCACAAAGTATCTGTAAGGGCAGGTTGCAAATAAATCTCATATTTGTCCCCACCTTTAGTTTTTCACCCACCCAAGTAGCTCACACATTTGCCATTTTATTATGTCTCTATTATATACTTCCTGCCTTTAATATCATCTCCAGGAATGCATATATACATTACAGTCAGATTTTCATTTAATCAGCAATGTTATCTCAAACCTTTCTCACTGAAATCATTACAGAGATATTGAAAGATTACAGTATATAATTTCAGGTACTCATGTTGGCCTTTAATTTCTTTTCCTTTGTCCCCTGACAACTGATGATTTGTGCAGTCCTCAGCTCTTTCCTCTTGTCGACTGTTTAATGTCCATCCCCAGGGTTCTCTGTTGGGGCTCTACTCCAAAAGGCTTTGTGTGCCATTTTATTCTTCTAAAAAGCCTACTTTCTTTGACACCTGTAGAACTACTACTTCTGGTACTTAATCATAGACATTCCTTATTACTTGAAATTCTTTATCCTTTCATCTTTCACACAGACTAATCCCAGCTGGAGGCAAAATTTCAGAATATCCTTAAGCCAGTGTTCTGCTGGCAATTCTCTGACCTATTGTCATAATACTGATAAAATGTGTGTGGGAATACTGTGTGCTCATACTCAACAGATCTACAGTTACTTCTTAACTGTGCAAATGTAGGCACCCTCTCTCTAACTTTTCTGTCTCTCTTACTCTCCGCTGTAGCTTGGGGAAAGTTTCTTACTCTGTCTTGAGTG